CTCTTCCGTCCCAAGGACCAGCCCATAGATTTCCACTGCTCTCCTCTCCTCTGCCTTCTGTGGATCTGTGCATCAGGCAGTGAATTCAGCTGTTCCTCCTCTTCCTCATCAGCCACCTCCAGACCTGGGGGCTGTTGACTCTCCATCTGAGGGCTGACAGACGGCCCAGGCTCCGCCTCTGTCTGTCTTTCTGCCAACTCCAATTTCTCTTCCCCCTCGGAGGTCTCAGGTTGCCTTGATGCTGACCTGACTCCCACACCTCCTCCTCCTGTGATTCAGCTGCTGGAGGGGCCGGCGGCTAACGGGCCACAAGAGATTTGAAGATGAGTGTCATGTTTAAGGGGAAAAACATGCTTCTCAGGCGAGCTCCATATTTGGATGATGGAAATTAAGTTACACGCTGTTGGCTTTCCTCCTTCCCCTGCAGGTCAACGGGATTGATCTTCGTGGTGCTACACATGAACAAGCGGCCGCAGCCCTCAAAGGAGCAGGCCAGGTGGTGACCATTATAGCACAATACCAGCCTGAAGGTAGGCTAAGACCAACATACAAATCTTTGCGGGGCGGGGGGGGCGGGCATGAAGAGATCATCTTTCAAACACCCGACCTGTTTGTTTCAACGTTATCTCTGCCTTCCTCCTTCGTATTGTCTGCTGGCTTTGAAAGCTTTTCCGGGAAGGAATTAAGTTATTAATGTTAGGTGAAGTATTACTACTGGTTGTCTGTCAGTGATTGTGTTTCATAAGGTTTCAATCAATGGATAGCCCAGGGGTGTCAAACTCGATTTCATTGAGGGCTGCATCAGGGTTGTGCTTGAGCTCGAGGGACCGGGGTGGGCGTGGCTATGGTGGGCATGGCCAGCTTGACATCACACTTGTCGGGGGCGCCTGAGGACCCAGTTGTTGGCTGTAATGGCCTCCTAAAGCCTTTCAACTCGCAAAGCATCCCTGGCCTGCTCTCAAGTTGCCATAGGCAGAAAGGGGAGGGGAACTGGCAGAACAGCCTGGCAGCCACAACCAGAAACACATTCCATTTCTCAAGGCTGTATTCCCAGGAGTGGGGAAAGAGAGTCGTAATTGGGCTGTAAATTACATTTTTATTTATTTTATTTATTAAACACATTTATATGCCGCCCAATCCCGAAGGACTCCGGGCGGCTTACAAAAAAATAAAGAGAAAAAAACACATAACGAAAAAAGAAACAATTTAAAAACAGCAACACCTCATACATTCATTCCAATCGGGGCTGGACCTCAACAGTGAGGTCAGCAGCCCCAGGCCTGCCGGAACAGCCAAGTTTTTACAACATGCGGTCAGAGCAATAGCAGTTATAGCAGTTGGACTTATATACCACTTCATAGGGCTTTCAGCCCTCTCTAAGCGGTTTACAGAGTCAGCATATCGCCCCCACAGTCTGGGTCCTCANTGACTTCTACTGTACTGCCGTAAAATGGCTTCTACTGTACAGCGCAGTGGAGTTGCCATGGTAATGGCTTCACAGTACTCCACATAGGAACTCCCTCTGGTAAGGGGGAAAATCCAACATTAGAAATTACGTTTGGTCTGGACATTTTATCCCTATAAATAAATACCCACGCAACGCCGGGTTATCGCCTTATAAATAAATAAACAACAGTGCTGAAGGAATATGCCTTCACCTCCTGCTTTTGAGCATCTGAAATTCACCTGATGAATCACCATGAGAAATGAAAGTTTGGTCTGATCCAACAGGGATGTTTTTATATCTGTATGACGGCATCCCACTAGTTTTAAGAATCTCAAAATGTTTTCTTAAGAACCTTAACATTGTTTGTGTTATATTGAATCCTACAAACTAGATAAGGTATGAGTTCAACCTTTCAACTTTAAGACTTGGGGACTACAACTCCCAGAACCCCCCAGCCAGCATGGCTACTGGCTGAGGAATTCTGGGAGTTGAAGTCCTCAGGTCTCAAAGTTGCCAAGGTTGGATACCCCTGGCATGCCGTCTTCTGAGGTTTCTGAAATAGGGCTGAAAATGGGAAATTGAGTTGGTTGAGCAACAAGGCTTCACAGATTTTTTTTAAAAAGTTACCACAGTTTTCGGAGTACAAGATGCACCAGAGTATAAGATGCAGCAAGTTTTTTAAAGGGGAAATTTAAAAAAAAAAGGTTTTGTACTCTGCATACCTCCTAAAAATGGCCCATTTTTTGCAAAAACAGGCCCATTATTTTTTTCCCAAAAAGGGCATGAATAGCCTTTAGGAGGCTTGTAGAGCGCTCCTGGGGGGTGGCGGGGGCAAAGAGGAGCAAAAAAGACCTATTTTTCACAAAAATGGGCCTGTTTTTTGTCAAAAAAGGGCATGGCTAGCCTTTAGGAGGCTTATAGAGTGCTCCTGGGGACTGGGGGTGGGTGGGCAAAAAACGGCCGATTTTTCGCTCATTTCTGCCCTCCCCAGCCCCCAGGAGCTCTCTGAAAGCCTCCTAAAGGCTATGCACGGCCATTTTGGTGAAAGGGGTGGAATTTTGGGAGGCAAAAAAAAAATGCTGTATTCAGTATATAAGACGCACCCAGATTTCCAGCCTCTTTTTTGAGGGAAAAAGGTGAGTCTTATACTCTGAAAAATACAGTAGGTCAATCACCAGGCTGGAGCTGCTGCACAGATATCCCTCTAAAAAGTAATATTGATGGGTGTATTTATCTTGTACTAGAACCAAAACAATCTTGAATGAATGCAGTCCTATTAGCTTAATGTCAGTAATATAGGGCATGGGTTCATTCAAAGTCCACGGCACCAGATAAATTGAATTTGCGCAGGAAAAGATAAAGAAAGAAATTAACTGCTCTCGGTGCATTCAGATCGAGCCAGTTTTGTATTGCTGCAAAGCAACGGATGACCCAAGAACCAGATGCTAAATGTTGCCAGTGACTTTAATTGGCGTCTCCTGAAGCACAGTTTTTGCTAACCTCCCAAGAGGAGAGAAAACTCTATATTTTTTACTGTATCGAAACAGTTTTGGTAAGCTTTAAAAAATATTTGCATGCGTAGGAATGGCTTACAGCTCTCAAAAAATATTTTGGCTCGATTTACTCGAAATTCCTGGCCAAACCTATCTAAGGGATGTCTCAGATTATCACACACCTTAAATTATTAGTGAACCTCAGTCTTTACATTTTATTTTTTGGGGGTGTAATTTTTAGTAGGGGAAGCCTGGCTTACAATTATATTCCGTTTCCCGGGGAAGCATTTTATATCAAATATTAGGGTAATAATGACACTTGGCAAGTTAGGCAGTTCAGAAAATCCCATTGCTTTTCTGGCACAGCTCCATTGACCAACATGCTAAGTCCAGTGGGTGGGCTTCAGATATTTCAGCAACAGACATTAAAAAAAAGTTGACAGAGAAATTAGGTTTGCAGATAGTAAAGAAGGTAAAATTTCTAGGCATCTATCTAGCAGCAAGGTGTGTGACAATCAAGGAGGATAATTGCATAAAACTAATGCAACAAATTAAGTTAGATTGGGAAAGGTGGAAAAAACTTACAACTATCAATGATAGGGAGAATTGCTTCCGTAAAAATGAATATATTACCAAAATTACTTTTCCTATTCCAAACGATACCGATAAAATGTAGAAGAAATATTTTGATGAACTAAATAGAATAATTTTAAAGTATATACGGCAAGGTAAAAAGGCAAGAATAAAATTGAAAATGTTGCAGCTCCTATAGACTTACTACATATGTAGAAATGCTATGCAAAGTGATTTTGGTAACTCGACAGTGCCTGGTCATATATCTGCAAATATTAAAATAAAAAAAAGGAAAACAAGAGAAGCAAATTGCCCTGCTTATACCTCATTGAAATCATTTTATTTATCTGTAGTAAAAGCCTGTTTCCTCACCTCAATAATCGCCCCTTAAAATGCAAGAGATAGACATTGAGATTTTGCTTATAAACGCAGAGCAGTTTTTCTGTTTTTTTTTGTACAAGGAGGGGTCACTTTGAATTTCGAGTCATATTTTTTCCCCAGATAAATATAGCAATAAGCCTGCTCCTGAACGCCCTTTAAAAAAAAACAGTGTTCTCCTGAGATTTCTCCCCCACCCCACCCCATGGCTAAGATGGTCTTCTGCTCCGACTTCTCTCCCCCCCCCCCAGTTGGAGCCAGATGTTCTCATTCATACTTGAGTTGGGTAAAGAACTGGATGTCTTCCAAGCAAGCCGTGCTAGGTTTTTCTGGGCATGTAGCAAAGAAAAGGAAGAGCTGTACTTGAGACATTTGCAAAGACCAGTGTGCGGGAAGAGAGAGAAGACGAGACATTGTGGCTGAACCACTGGAAACTTCTGAGATGCTGAGGTCAATCAGCCTTCCTTTCCAAGGGGAAGTGGTGGGTTCCCTGCAGTTTGAGGGGTTCAGGTCAGTTGGTGGAAAAGCAGAGGAACAATCTAGTCTCAGCAGGAATGGACAAGAGAACTTCCTTCCTTCCTTCCTTCCTTCCTACCTACCTACCTCCATCCCTCCCTCCCTCCCTCTTCCTTCCTTCTTCCCTCCTCTTCTTTCGTTCTTCCGTTTCTCCTTTCTTCT